TATTCTTATAAAAAAATTAAAAATTGATATTTTAAATAAAAACTAAAAATTAATATTTTCATTTAAAAATTAACAAAAAATAATATTTTTAAATAAAAAAATTAACATATTTGTTTACACTTTTTCTTAGCACTTATCGTAATCCACCTCAATCATATGGACAAGACAAAAGTAAAACTCTATTTTCAAAGGTGATAAGTGTAGCCTATTGAAAATTTTTTGCATCCATGATAAAAATATTCGAACCTGCATTCACAAATATAATTTGCATCATCCTTATGATAACCAGAGCCAACCTCAATGGGTTAAAAACTTTCATTTTTGTTGTGGGGTTGTATAATTTGATGTGTTTAATTCCTTCGTTAAGAAGAAAAAAAAAATCCCTAAGTTTCAAAGCTGCATAATTTTGGAAGGGTGAGAGTCATAAGTGTTTTAAAATGTAGTTTGGAGTGCCCGAACTTCTAATCTTTAGGAGTTAGGAGGAAACACCATTAGACGTACCAAATTGATGGGGTTCGATAAGTTCCTATCGAATCATTTTGGACTTCTAGTTTATTAGGTTGGGTGATTTTTAATTTTGAATTAAAAGAAATAAATTTATAATCTATCCACGCAAATTTTGGATTGGGTTAGATAGATTCAATTTTTTAAAAAAATTAAAATTAAAATTTTTAATATTGTATCTACTTTTCATAAAAAAAATTAATATTAATTAATTATTTAATAAAATAAATTTATAAAATTAATATTAACTCTAATAATCTATTAAATAATTAATAACTATTTTATAGTTTTTAATTTTATTTTATATTTTAAAATTAAAGGTATAATTAATTAAAATTTTAAATTTAAAAAAATTAATAAATTTTAGTTATGTTATTTCATATTAACCTAACGTTAATTCAACCCAATCAAATTTAAATAATTTCGTTATGGGTTATATTGAATTTCAAGTTAACGCTTTAGATTCATAATCTTACATATACATATAGTGGATGAGTAGGGTTATATCTTTAGATTTAGTCTAATCTTGCCAAATCTACACACTATTCTCACATATGAAATATACAAAAATGTTCTTTGTTTTGTAGTAGGAATTGTATCAAGACAGCAAAACAGGAAAAGATAGATGGAATATAGCTCCTAATATCAGGGTCTTACTCTCCATTAAATTATTTAAGTTATGCAATTTAATATAATTCAGCCTCCACAATATTTTTTTCATACAAAAAGTCCTAAAAAACAAGTGTATTCTGCAGAAAGAAAATTATTCTATGGGTTTCTCCACTGAATCTAAGCTTGAAGAGCTGAAATTCAATTACTCAGAAGAGTCTATATCTATATATACTCAAGAATCTTAAAAAGGAGCTACCAGAGTAACCTTTAAGTTGCTCGGATTTGTAACTAACAAGAACTCCAACAATGTTTTGAGCCTCAAAGCAATCAAATTCCAGACATTATCACAAAACTTGAGTGGACAGTAGGTGCCTTATCTGGAATAGATGTTCCTCATCCGAAATGTTGAGGGACAGTCGGAGATTAGTTAGGAGGGACTCTTGGTCCCAACTTAAAGGACCTAAAGCATACATTGCCTCCATTGTTGACTTATAAGCATGAAGCTCTAGTTCATGAATGTTTACCTTCAGTTTCTGTACAGGAAACGATCCTAATCCTCTTTTATAAGACATAGAAGGAAATGCTGACTCGGCTTCTGAATTATCTGGTGAAATTTCCAGTGATTTATGGGAAATGAAGATGGGATAATCAGCAATATTGTTACCGCTGCAGCTAGCAACAGAGCATTGGTTGCTATCTTCAGTGGACCAAAGAGGCCTACAAGAATCATCTAAGCAGCGAAGCGTTGCTTTATCGACCCTGTTGTTATTTTCAATTGATTTCTGAATGAATTTTTCTTCAACTCTTATATGTGAGTAAGAAGTGTCATTGACCTGCTTAAATAAAGCAATGTTTCTCCGAGAACGTCTCTCACAACCTCTAGAACAAGGAAGTGATTTCCTTTTCTTGCAGCTTCCTCTAATCAGTACATCTAGAGAGTTTTCGTCATGGTCAGGCCAATACTTAAAGTGCCCTTCTCCATCCTCCTCTCTTATATCAAAATCTCTGCACCTAATTTCCGATGGAGTTCTGGAAAGCAAGCCCGGAGCAAAATGTGAATTATTTGGTCTAAAACTGTTGGAAAATTGCTTTTCTTGAATAACCTGCAGGAACATGAGTGAAAGGTTAATATGCTACAAAAATTCCAAAAAGCAATCAGTTTCTTGTATCAAAACTGCTATCAGGATTCTGAAAATGTCATTTCTGAAGACATGATGAGATTTGCAGCAAGAACAAACTTCTCCTGGAGCAGGACATTGACAAGTGAAACATGAAACAGATAAATCAACTATAATAAAAGGAGGCATTGACTGAGAATAGTATCATACTGATGATGCCAAGGATGTGGATTTCTATTTGGTCTAGCATGCTAGATTTAGAAACAGACAGCAAGGAAATAGTATATGTCCATTAGAAACTCCATGAGCAGCAGTTTCTCCGGAATGTAAAGGCTTATTTGGTAAAAACAACCCCTAAAGGAATAGCATGGCAACATTCATGGAATTACATGCAAGGTTGATTTTTCTAAACATAATTGACCGGACGGGTCACTGCATAACTGCACCTTGAGGCAGGATTCACATCCCCAAAGGACTATTCACTTGTGAAGAATACTTTAAATCTGAACAAAAGAATCCATGCTTCTCACAAAGCCATTAGTTCACTCCTATAAGAACTTGGCACATTTTCATGACCCGAATAGTCCCCTGATAAGATGCAATCCTAGTAATGGTATAAATAAGATGCAGATCCAATATGATGAGAAATGCCTTCAAGAAACTTGAAAAGAAATGTTAACGTAATTTTTAGTTTCACAACACACAAAAAACAATTAGAATAGGAGCATTTGTAAAAAAGATGACGTTATTTAAAAGAAATCTGAATAGGAGAGGTGGCACAAACCAACATTTTATAGCAACCATTGATGGTAAATTTCAACATGGAAAATATGAAGATGACTAAAAGTCATTACCTTTCTAATCATCTTCCACTCATTGTCACACCAAACCTGTCTAATCCTTAGATTAGAGACATCAAATTCTTTAAGTTTGATGGAACCAAGGAACCTTATAACAACCCGATTATTTTCCTGCAACACCTTAGCAACCTTCCCTACCCTCCAACATCGAGCATCAAACACTTCAACCATATCTCCAACTGTCCATGTCTGCCCCTTCGCATCTGGAGGCAGGGGTCTAAGATACCTCTCATGCACCTTCTCCACGATTTCTTTTCCCTCAGGGTCCATAAGTGATTTGAACCTAACAATAAAGTTATCCCCATCTGCTGAAACTATGCTGGCCAGAAACCAGGAGCCACATGGATCATGTTCTTTCCTTAAGACCTCCACCAAATTCCCTTTACGGAGCTTCATTCTTTCAAACTCTATTATGTTTACCCTGGAAAACACGGCCAAAAACTATCAGAAATGACACCTTTATTTAAAAAAAAAAAAAAAAAGGAACATAAACTAGAAAAAGAAAAGAAAAACATTTTGATGAAATTAAATCCCTCCTTAACCCTTCAATAAAATAATTCAATAATCAGAGTCTGTATTGCCATGGCAGATCAATTCATCTTGTAGATAAGCAACCTTCATCTCACCTCAGTATTTTAAATCACATTTCAAGAAGAAAATTATATAATATCATCATATCCAAACTAAAATAAATAAAAACAGAATCAATATTTAGCTATGTATGCCATTCTGGTGACTAGAAAATGAAACTGATTATTCAAAAACTCAACCAAAAAGACCATTCTACACCAAACTCAGAGGTACCCACCATACCAGTTTTCTTGAGACAGTCTGTCAATCACATACTGGACCAAACCCAGATTCAGCAAACAGCATCAGAGCATAAACCCAGAAAAGGAATCCAAATTTGAAAAGGAAAATCATTTCAAGATTATACAAAGAAGTAAAGAAACACATGCCCAGAATTGAGAATCCTGAATGATTATGAGACAAATGATTTGCCAAACAAAATTGGACTAGGCTTGTATAGAAATTTCCAATTCTGAAACATATCATTAATAAAGAAGAAATGAAAGAATTGGGTGAAAAACAAAAAAAGAATGTTGAAAGATACTGACCATGCTGAAAACGAAGAGGAAGCAGGATTGTCGTGGGATGACCGCATCCTACGAAGGGTTGAGTGTTCTAATGTTATCAGTTACCTTAAAATGAAAAAAATCCTCAAACTTTGCTAAAATTCTCATCGTCGTCCATGTACTTTCAAAAATTCTCACACTTTTTTTTTTAAAAATAGGCCAACTATCGTCTCTCTGTCAACATCAGTAATAATGCTGTCTTTTTTTGGCCTTCGTTATGAAGCTGTCCACTAATGAATAACAATTGGCTGAGTTATCGTGGTAAAAAGGCGTTTATAGGCGGGGATTCCTATTATTTTATTGTCTTCTTATTGTTGGGAGAGGTGATTCTAACGAGGCAGCTCGAAAGCACACGGATGATAAGAGTTTGAACACATATGAGGGATGTTAATATTAAATTTAAAAAATATGATCATTAAATTTAAAAGCTTTCTCCTAATATTTTGTTTTTTTTTTTTAATCAGATTTTTACATATCGCTTAATTCAACTCAACTCCATTCGTATGTTCATATACTTTACCACCTATTTATCCAAGCTATGGGTCCACACTATTAAAAAAGCATTAAATTGGATGAACCATAATTCTCAACTAAAATTTTGTAGTTACTAAATAATAATATTAACTTGACTAAAGTGGATGATTTAAACCTTCTAATGTATAACTTACATATTAAGTCACAAACTCATTTGTATAATATATAATAAAGTTGAAAAAAGAAAAGTGCATATCAATTAAAAGTCGAGGCTTCTTAAAACTATATTATTTTATATATCCACATGTAAGTTTTTTAATACATGACTTTCAAAATACTGTCATTTTAGGTTAGGCTTCTTAATCCGCGGTTTCAAAATGGCATAGTTTTGGAAGGGTAGAACTCCTTGAATTTTAAAAAGCTGTAGTTTTAGGAATTAGAACTAACAAGCACTATTCATTATATATGCATACCTGTAAATCTAATTCTCCAAATCTACAATCTTATCTTTCAGTCAGTATCAGGTTCCAGTGTAAGTTCATATCTTGATGCATTCAGAAGGCAATAGTCAATAACTTCCATTGTCTTTCAAAGTTTCAGTCTCTTAATTTTTGGGGTAAATGATCCATTAATTGGTCTTCTCAAACTGTGTTACGTTTTATTCTTCAAAGCAGCTTCAGCTTCAGTCAAAGTCTGTCCTCATAAGGGAAACTAACTGAAGACAGAAGGAGCACAATGTTGATCCGTCTGGAAGCCCATGACTGCAGTTGATATAATTGATTTACAAAAAATTTATCAGAACATGAAGTTGTGAATTCAATGAGTCATTCCAAAAAATAACAGTGGTATTGCACACAGTGGAAAAATCAACTCAATGGTTACAGAGATGGAAATTGTGCTGTAAGACGTTAACAACTCTGTTATGTAGACCATGTTTCAGCAGGAAATGTTAGATAGCCTCAGATCAGAGAATCTGACATCTACAACCTTCCGAATCTTGGGGCCCTTCAAACCATCTATCCCATGATGAGTTTATAGCACCATGTGTTCTGCAAGCAGAATAATTTGAGACATTTGAGGTAGAGAAGCTAACATCAAAAAGGGAAAAAATTCTAAGAATAGGGTTTTGAACCTACAGTGGGAGTAGTGGATCAGGTCTGCTCTCAATGTCATTCAGCAGCCTGTGGCACAAAAGCAAAACAGATGTTCATCCTGATGAAATTCCTCACCATACACTTTGGTGCTATAGGCATCTGTACTGAATTAACTAATACATGGGTGAATAAAAAATAGCGAATGGCCAAATTGACAGCTGAATGAGCCAACCAGATTAAGAAATCCAAGTTTCAACCACCATATGAAAAGGAAAGTTGCATTAAATGAATAAAACCTTCAATCTCTCAAATGATTGTGCATGTGTATACATATTCATAGTACCGTACATCTATTTTTCATTTTTTTATGTCATGAGAATGAAAAAAAATCAATTCTTATACTTACTCCTCACACACTGTGGACAAATTATCTGTTCTCTCAAGCTCTTCTATTTCTTCCTGCATAAAATACATGAAGAACAAAAGAAAAGGTAAGACACACTAACTGCTTTTTTTTATTATTATTATTTTAACTGCATTTCTGTATGGTATTTCCAGCAGAATTTCGATTTTTTCCATTAATAGAGCATGGCATTGTACAAACACATCACACATTCTGTTTTAATACACATACTGAATCACCCATCTGAACGTAGAAAAAGAAAGGAGCAACTAAGCAAAAGAGGTAAAGAAAAATGCTTAAAAGTTCAAGGATCCTCTTTTCTGCTTCTAGCATCCTTCTACCACAAGAAACTTTAAAAGAAAGAGCAACTACACGTCGTGCAAAACCAACATCTTGAACAATAAGGAATTCCAAATTTTGCCAAATTAGAGAAACTATTGTCTTAAAAAACAAACTACCGTACAAACACGAGAAAAAGCTAAGCACAATTAATACAGATTACTCTTCTTCCATTGTAACCAGGAACAAAAATAAAAGCCGAGCATATTCACCATTCAGGTCTCATTATGACTAATCCAGGAAGGGGAAACAATTCTAGCTAAACATGCTACAATTATTATCTTCTGATGAAGAAGACATTATGAATAGAGGCAAAGATATCAACTTCTATGGGATCAAAACAAATCCAAGACGTATTATATTAGATTCAGGATTTTCCCCAGAAAATGCCAACTTCAAACCCTACCCTGAGATTCTGCTTCCATTTTGAGATAAAGAAACACAAGCTGACGAAAAGTTAAGAAAAGCAAGAACTACTTGGCTTGGAGCTCCGCTTATCTTTATTCCTAATTTGCAACTTACTCAAAAACAAATCAAACAAAGCTTATAAATACATTTCGATTAAACCTCCATTACCAAAACAAAACCTTCTCGAAATAACAATCTGCTTACTCAAAGCTGAACCAACGAGGAAGGTGAAGAAAAACAGAAAGCGTGAAGCACAGGATTAGAGAAAAGCTGACCTCGAGGAATTTTGATTCCTGCTCGACGCGCTTCAGTTCTGCGAGAATCTGGTGCTTGCCTCGCGTATCGGCTACCGAACCGCCCGCCGGCTGTTCATCCGCCGACGACACCGTCTCTGATTCCATTGCTGGAATTCAACGCCGCTGGCTCATTCTAAACCGTAGCCGAGTTCAAGTCTGACGGCACTAATCTGCAGTAGATCTGAGAGGAGAATTTCCGTACAAATCCAATCTCTTTCTTCCTAGCAGGAAAATTTTGACGACTTTTTCTTCAAAGTCGTTATTCTTTTCTGATTTTTTCTCAGCTCGAAAAAAGCATACGTTTTTTTTTTTTTTTAAAATTTTTATTACCCTTTTAAATTTTAAAATAATATTTTACATATCAAAATTTATATTAAAAGTGTAATTGATTTTGTAAATTTATTAAAATATTTTCCATAAAATTATTTTTTATATTTTTTATTAAATATATTTTAATAAATTTATTAAATAAATTATATCTTTGATATACAATATAAACAGTAATACATGAATTTCTTAAATTATTATTAGTATTTATAAACTCCAAAAGAAAATTTTAACTCGTTGTCAAATAAAGACTGACAATTTTGACTTGCTCCTTTTCTATAATAACTAACCTTGCGGCTGATCATTATGGTAGGAAAAATTATTCTCAATATTGAGGATATTAGGATAACGGTGCCTCAATCAATCAATACTTGACACGTGTAAGGTTTTAAGATGCTATATGAAGAACTTTAATGGTTATGTTATGTCACCTAAATATTCTGTCATATTATAAGTTTAGTGCTGATGTATTTAAAAATTTAGTAAGATGACAATTTTTTTATTATCAAGATAGCATATATTGTATTATATGGTATTTCATTATATTAAAGATTATTTCTTAAATTAAAAGATAGGTTAACTCTTTCATTTAATTTCTCAACTATTGTATGAATCTCTGATTTGATCCTTACATTAAAAAATTTTTTGATTTTGTCTCTATTGTTTATCAATTTGACTTCAAATTGGTTCTTTCATACAAAAGTAGATGATGTGTTTCGTAATTAACATAATAGATAGTCGTTAAGTAATGGTTTTCTATTATTAAGTAATGGACATGTAAGTTATTTTTTTAATGAAGAAACCAATTTAAGGTTAAATTGATAAATAGTAGAGATTAAATCAAGGATTTTTTTTTAGTTTAGGGACCAAATCAGAGGTTTATATAGTAATTGAGGGACTAAATGGAACATTTAACCTAAAAGATAAGTTTAAATTCTTGAGAAAGGATTTTTCACATACCATGATAAGTGATTCGGGTCCATTAGAAAAGGGGGTGACAATTGAAAAATACAAGCTCAAACCTTTATGATGAGACTGTTACGTCAGTGAAAAAGCAAAATTACTTAAATTACTTAAATTATTAAAACTGCCTCTCAATTGTAAGGAAGGATTTAAGAAAAAAAGACTATAAAATATATATATCTCATTAATATACCAAGAAAATTCTCCACATTTGAGTGAATAAGTTATTATTGTAGATTCAACCGTTTTTTGAAAATTGGAATTGAAAAGGAAATAACATTGGGACTTTGGAAGGGCAAATGGGTTCGTTGATACTTGATGGTGTTGATAAGCCCAACAGAAGAGGGCCCTCCCACCCTGGAAAGGTGCCTTTTGCTGCTGTCTTTGTGGTGTTTAGGACCACTTCAAGACATTCCAATTCATGCATCACCCTTGCATCAGAAACACGTTATTTTGGCATTTGTCCGACTCCATCTCATTTTCCAGTTCCATAAACCCAAACTTGTGCTAATTGCTGTGAGGATAGGCTGACTGGGGGAGATTCTTCAAAGGGAACATTGACATTCGTTGTGAAGACAGCTTAACAAGTGGCCATGGTAATGCCGTCCAATAACAAAAGTGATAACGGTATATATAGTTGATGCTTTAGAAGAGTAGCTGATGAAGGTTTGAGCACCTTGGGTACGTAAAAGGAAGGCTAGTTAGGGCAGGCACCAGAGGTTTTTCGGGTCACTAGCTATAAAAATAGCTATTTTTTCATAACAAATTTTTAACTGGATTTTTTATTTTTTTGTGGAAAATTAAGTTTTTGGAAAGAAAGAATTGGTGAAAAATGACAATTTTTTGCCACATAATTTTCACCTAAATTATTTTCTATTAGACTGTGGTTGAAAACAGAATGGTGAATGCATAGTAAAAGCACAACATCATTTTTTATTACGATCCAGTGAAAACTATTTAGAGAGGTTAACAAGTTAACAAAAATAAAGTTAAACTATTTGTGGAATTATTTTGCACCCAATTTCAATACACTATAATATTGCAAGTCAACCGAAACACATTTGATTGTTAACCTTTGAAGAAAATGAAAGGTTAATTTCCACCAGATTCTAGTGAAAAAGTAAGCCAAATGGTCAAAAACTTGAGAAATATCCATTTCGCCATTCATTGTTTCAAGGTTTTTTTT